TCACCTATTCCCAGGGGATAATCCCCTCCCTCTTCCCCAAGGCAGTCTCCATCAGGGGCTGATCTGCAGCTGAGAGGACAGTAAGCAATGTCTGGAGGCATTTTGGCTGGCTTGCCCTGGGAAGAAAATACCTCTGTCAACCTGTGAGGCCAGGGATGCTGCTAAGCATACCACAGTGTAACATGGCACAGGATACAGGGCACCACCCACCCTTTCCCTGACAGTTTTTTCTTCAGAATCAGTACCACCCAGGTTGAGAAACCATGACTTGAAAATAATTTTGTTGACATGGGGTCTTACTCCCTAGTCTAGGTCGACCTTGAATTCCCTACCTTCCTACTTCAACCTCCTGAGTGCCTGAATTTCAAGCATCATGCCAGGCTTAGAAAATGACTTGTTAACCTTCACCATGGTTCACATGATTGTAGCTGGGTAGGTAGTCTGTAATTGTGGCACTCAGGAAGGAGAGGCAGGAGGATCCGGAGTTCAAGCTACACACAAAAAAAGATGCTGGTTCTTGCCTGTTCTGACCTAATGAGCTAGGAAGGACACAGTGTCAGTGTTCACCTGAGGTTAAGAATGTGGGAAGTGAACTAATGTTACGGCAGTACCAAGAACAAAGCAGCACCTTCTGATCCTCCTGCCTCTGCTTCTCATGTTCTGACCATGTTCATGGTGCAGACATGCACCACCATGTGAGGTTCTGTGCAGTGCTGGGAATAGAACCCAGGGCATCGTTCATACTAGGCAAGAACCCTACCAACAGAATTACTTTCCCAGTCAGACTTTGGCACACTCCTTTAATCCCAGTACTCAGGAAGGAGAGGCAGGTGTATCTCTGTGGGTTTGAGGCCAGCCTAGTCTATAGAGTGAGTTCCATGACAGCCAAGACTACAGAGAAACCCTGTCTCAAAAAAACAAACAAAAAAAAAAATCAGAAAAAAATATGAAATACAAATAAAACTTCTTCAGAACTAAGCTTCTACACTGAAGTCACTCAACTCAAGCAAGTTTATGTATAATTTCACTAGATTTTATGAAACTTGAGAGAAAATTGTCAGATATTCATACATACAAGCACTTATGAATTGGGAATATTTAGTTTGAGACCCATAGGTTTCAAATCCCTGAAAGACAGCCGATCATAAAACACTCTAAAATTGCTCAGCAGGCTTGGCTTACAATCTGAAGGTTTATGCACATTTTGGAAGCTATTGCCAGGTGGTAGTAACACATGCCTTTAACCCTGGCACTCGGAAGATGGGAATGGTTACACTAGCATTTGTGTTAAGGGTACAGTCATGGAAGCCATGTGCTTAGCTTTGGAAAATTGCCCCAAGATTCCTTAGCAGATTGAGAATGCGGCCAACAGGGTGCTGACAGCCTCCAGCCTCAGGTTCCCTGGCCACAGAAAAGGCACAAGGTTGGAGACTGACTTAGCCATCTCATCCAGGTAACAGGATCCCCTCTGATCTGCCCTTGATGGGATACTGTTGCTGTGCTAGGTACCAGGGTGGGATGGCAGCTAACATTCCTACCATCAGCTGGCAGGTGCCAAGGATTCTGCACACCTTGTGGCAGACACAAGTGTCCATACACAGTCTATGCTAACATCAGGAGCCTAAGCAGAGTGGGCAGAATGCAAGAGGTGACACTCTGATCCCTGCTCCCTCATGCACCCCTGGCTTCAGGAGCATGCTCAGACCCACCTGGGCATCCAGGATGGCATTCTGCTCCTGGTCTTTCTGCTGGAGCAGCATTTCTGGCACCTGTCCCTGTAGCCTTTCCTCACAGCACATGGCTGCCGAGTCCTTCTCATCCTTCTCCAGCAGAGTGCTGTTCTCTTCCATCTGTGGGTGCAAGACCAACTCAGGTGGGGTGGAGATGGCAGAAGACATGCTGGTGCTCATGAGGTCCAGCTAAGCTACCCACACAGACAGCAGGGTCAGCAGCATCTGCGACTCCATCATGTCCATGGTCTGCTGCAGATCCTGCAGGGGTCCAGCTGTTCAGTTCCCAGTAAGCCATGTTGACCTGGCTCTTCCAGGCATGGCAGAACCCCCAACCTCTGGGTATTTCATAGGTTCAAATGGAAATAGTGTCAGAGGGGTTGGGGATGGAGCCAGTCCTATTCTTGCCTGGGAATTGTATGGGCGCCCCCACCCCACTCAGTATATGAACACACTCACCTGAGCAGGTCTCATGGGCACCACAGTCTTGGCATCCATCCTAGAGGACCAGCTGCCTCTGACCTGAAGCCTTAGGTGCTGGGAGTCAGAACTACCCACTGCCCAATACCTCTGTGCTCACCTGTCTCTTCTAGTGAAGGGTTCTCTTTCTCTGAGGGGTGGTAAAAGACTTGCAGTTGGATTTCTTTGACATTGTCCTGTCTTGTTGGGGAGCTTGCCTGAACATGCTTTTGTCTAAAATAGACCATTTTATTAATTTAAAAAAAAAGTCTTTCACTTGGTTTTTGGAGATGTAGTCCAGGTTGGCCTAAGACTCAATCCTCCTGCCCCAGCTTGGGACTTCAGGCTTGTGACACGATAAGTAGCCAAGAACATAACGAGTGCCTCTTGACTCATGACTCAGACTGTGACAAGAGGAAGATGTCACCCTCAATCCCAGCACCCAGGTCCTCATGCTCTTTATGACAGAAGCTCTGCCTGGGACCTGTACTTGCTACCCCCATCCTGCCTGGGACCTGCACCTGCTTATGCCACCTCATCTGAGACCCACACCTGCTGCTGTCATCCCACCTG